ATCGAGAATTTAGTGGGACGCTATTACACCAGAATCGCCACTGCACGTGAGTGCTTCATAGAGGCAAATGCGGCGTCACAAGACACCGGAACTGCCGTCATCGCGATCGCCGTGAGCTATGTCCGCGACGCCGAAACATTGGCCTACTCAGGCGACATACGGTAACCCCGCACCACCACGGGCACCTTCAACAGAGGGATTCGGAGAAAAGCCCACTGTCTGGGAGAAGCTAGACCGCCTCGCCCGCGTAGCTGGCTATTTGTATGAACCCCTCTTCCTCGTCGGACCAGGCAAACAGACCCGCCTCGACAACCTGGGTTTCGGTTATCCCCACCACGAGCTGCTGTACCGGGTAGGCGGGGCCATCGCCCCAAGGGCTGGTGGCGACTTCCCGGTCGGTGGGCGAGAAGTAGGCACGGCCGTTGGGGTGGGAGTGAAAGATCACCCACCTTGGCGGGCTCCTGTCTCAGGCTCTGGTTACAAGGACGCAGTCGTGTCCAGTGATTACGTAAGCAGTTTCGGCGCCGCGAGCCGCTTGAGTGGGGTGGGTACCGGAATCCTGAGCGTTTTCGCAGCTCCTGACGGTGTTGACCGTCGCACTGTCAGCGGGCCCGGCGAGCCAGCCGCAGCATTCGAAGGGGAATGCTCTACGGGCCTCCCGGTAGACCTCGCGAGAACCTGGCCGGGTATGTCCATAGGGGTTGGCAAATCGGCCATGGAAGGGCTCCTTCTAGAGGGAATGGGCGCGGCGGAAAAGGAATTTCCCATTACCCGGCGGAATCGCTTCCTGCGGTATGTCGCTGGGCGTACTCGTGGACGGCGGCTTCCTGTTCCGGCGTCTGGACAGAGCCGGGGCGTAGGCGGCGCACTTCGTTGATGGCGTCGGCTGGGTCCGCACCGCGTTTGACGAGGTAGCAGGCCAGTACGGTGCCAGTGCGGCCGATGCCGACGTAGCAGGAGACGACAACGGGGCGACTGTTCTGCACGAGTTGCTCGTCGAGGAACCGATATAAGGTCGATATGGCCTGGCCACGGGGGCGTAAAAACGCGCCACGAGCACAACATGTCCAGGCATGCGAGGTGGAAAAGCGTGACAGCGGGGTGGTACGATACTAAATGAGGATGGAAAGAGAGGAACAAAATGATGATGTGGAAGAACAAGGTACAGAATAAATGGACTGGGCCTGGGAGCCGGACGAGCTAGTTCCAAACAACCCAGCCGAAATTCATGTAGCGGATTCCCATGTTTCTTTTCCCCAGGTTGGCGGTTACGAAGTCGTGGTCTACTCCCCGGTAGTGAGGAGCCTTTGGATTTCCCCGGTGGACATGCCCTCGACGTACACAGACTTGTCGCGAGCAGAGTGCCCGCGGACGATACGCAGGCTGGACTTGGCGACGCCAGAAGTGTCTCGCCATTAACCACAGACGGCGGCGTTGGCCCGAAGTCATGAGCGGGCGGTTAAGCATCAAACCAACAGGAATCCATACAGAGTCATTGATACAGCCCCCCGGTTGCGGGAGGCCCGAGGCTGGACCCGCACGCTTAAGGTGTAGCCGGATGGTTCGTTGTCGCCGTCCAAATGGACTCCTTTCAGCGCGAAAGGACGCCGAGTCGGGTATAGTATAAGGGAATTCACACCCACTCCGGAGTCGCAATGGATTACCAGAACGTCAAGCTTTCCATAGATCAGGGAATTGCCACCATACTCCTAAACCGCCCCGATGCGATGAACGCGCTGGGCCGTGAACTGGTCACTGACCTGTCGGCAGCGTTGACCGATGTTGCGGGGGAAGATTCGGTGAAGGCGATGGTGCTTCGCGGCGAGGGACGCTGCTTCTGCGCCGGTGCCGACCTCAAGTACTTCCAGGACGCTTTCCAGACCCCGGAAGCGCTGCGAGCCTACCTGACGGAAATCAACGAGGTGATTTTCCAGGTGGAGGACATGCCAATACCAGTGATCGCCGTGGTGCATGGCTTCGCTCTGGCCGGAGGGCTGGAGCTGATGATGGCCTGCGACATGGCATTGGTGGCCGATGATGCGCGCATCGGGGACCAGCACGTCAACTTCGGCCTGATGCCGGGTGGAGGCTCGACGATCCGTCTGCCTCGGCTGGTGGGCCCACAACGAGCGATGGAGCTGCTGACCACGGGGCGCTGGCTGAACGGGCCGCAGGCGGTGGAGTGGGGGCTGGCGCTGCGCTCAGCACCCCTGGACGAGCTGGACGAGGAGCTGGAAAAGCTGGTGGCGCCGCTGCGAGGCAAGAGCCGGCCAGGCCTGGGCTGGATCAAGCAGGTGACGCACCAGGGGCGCGACCTGACGGTGCGAGACGGCTCGGTCGTCGAGCAAATGGCCTTCGCGCAGTACGTGGCCACGTCCGGCCACCCCGCGGAGGGCGTGCAGGCGTTCGTGGAGAAGCGCACGCCGCAGTTCTGACCTGGAGTCGCTGCCGGGGTACCGCCGTAAGCAAGTGTGAGTGGATGGGGGTGAAGAGAAAAACACGGAGGGACAATTTACAGGTTTTGAAGATACGCGAAATGCTCAAGAGGGGCGCGACTATATCATTTGAATTCTTTCCGCCGCGGAATGCCGATGGCATACCCGCTGTGCTGGACACGGTAAGGGAACTTACCGCCTACTGTCCGGACTTTATCTCGGTCACCTATGGCGCGGGCGGCTCCACGCGGCAGTTCACCGAGGAAATCACCGTCAGTGCCAAGGAGTCGGCCGGGGGTGTTGAGGTGATGGCCCACCTGACCTGCGCGGGCCAGACCGTAGATGAGCTGGACAGTGTGCTGCAACGCCTGGAGGAAGCTGGCATCGAGAACGTCATCGCGCTGCGGGGCGATCCACCGCGGGGCGAGCAGGAGTTCACCGTAGTCGAGGGCGGATTCAGCCACGCGTCCGAGCTGGTGACCCACATCAAGGCCAACTACGAATTCGGCATCGCAGCCGCGTGCTACCCTGAGGGTCACACCGAGGCGGTGAGCCTCGAACAGGATCTGGATTACGCCAAGCTGAAGGTGGACAATGGCGCCGATTTCCTGATCACCCAGCTTTTCTTCGACAACAACGACTACTTCGAGTTTGCCGACCGTGCCGCCGCAGCGGGGATCGATGCGCCGGTGGTGCCAGGGATCCTGCCGTTCCTGAGCACGCCTCAGATACGCCGGTTCACCTCCCTGTGCGGTTCGAAGATTCCGGCAGACCTGGATGCCGAGTTGGAACGGCTGGCCGACGATGACGACAGCGTGCGGGAGCTGGGCATTGAATATGCGGCGCGGCAGGTTGAGGGCCTTTGGGCCGCCGGGAGTTCCTGGCGTCCATTTTTATGTGCTGAATCGCAGTTACTCGGTATCGAAGATCCTCGACCGGCTGGGTCTGCCCGGTCACGTTCCGGACTAGAGGCTTTCCGGAGGTTCTTTCCTTCGGGGTGAGGCGAATCAAGCCATGCTTACGACAGGCGTGGACATCATCGAAATCGGGCGGATAGCCGGGGTGCTGGAGCGCTACGGAGACCGCTTTTTGAGTCGCATCTACACCCCCGGCGAGCTGGAATACTGTCGCGGACGGCCCTCAAAGCTGGCATCCCGCTTCGCGGCCAAGGAGGCCACGATGAAGGCGCTGGGCACCGGCGTTCGTGGCGTGGCTTGGAAGGACATCGAGGTTATCCGCGCTCCCAGCGGAGCGCCCAGCATTGCGTTGCACGGCAGGGCCAAGAGCCGCGCCGAACGTCTGGGCGTGGTCGAAATTTCAGTCAGCATGTCGGACTCCCGGGACAATGCCGTAGCGTTCGTCGTGACGCGCCGCGAAGAGCCCGAGTAAGCCCGTGCAAGTATAATGAGACAATCGGGGTCCCAAGTGCCGGAAGTCCTGACAGACCGCGGGCTCGGATGGCAGGCAACCGGATTTACCCTGACAGGAGTAATCTGCCCTGCGATTTCTCAAGTCATATGACAGTATCGATTTCTGGCTGTATCAGTGGTTTGAAACAGCAGTCGTAGACCTGTACTGGTCATTTGTGTTGCCGCTGGCGGTTCTGTTCGACGGAGGTAGAAGATTGTTTGAAAAGGGAAAGGCTATTCGTGAGGCTCAGAAAGCCCGAATGGTAGAAAGAGCGCGACGAGACGAACAAAAACGCATACAAAAAGAGTTGGAGCGCCGCGGCGTAGTTCTATCCCCGGAAGTAGTCGAAGCCGTCTTTAGCGAAGATCCAAATAACGGTCTCTGACTGCTGTCGTGAAAGTTGTAACCGCGGCGCAGATGGTCGCCATCGAACAGGCGTCGGAGCGGGCCGGCGTCAGCACCGACACGCTGATGGAGAATGCCGGCCTGGCGGTGGCCAAGGCCGCGCGGGACGAGTTGGGTGGTGCAGCGGGTGCCCGTGTAGTCGTGCTGGTGGGCCCGGGCAACAACGGAGCCGACGGGCTGGTGGCCGCGAGACACCTGCGGCGTTGGGGCGCGGACGTCGTGTGCTGCCTGCTGACTGGACGTCCTGATGTGGATCCCAAGCTGGAGCTTGCCCTCGAATACGGCGTAGAGGTTGTTGCCGGGCCCGATGGCGAGACGCTGGAGCGGCTGCTGAGGCGCTCGCGTCTGGTCATCGACTCGGTGCTGGGCACCGGACGGTCCCGGCCGCTGACCGGTCCAGTCGGCGACGCGATGCAACTGTTGCGGCGGGTCAGGGGGCTTCGGAATCCACCGAGGCTGATGGCCCTCGACCTGCCGACCGGATTGAACCCCGATACCGGCGAGGTTGATCCCGCATGTCCCCGGTTTGACGTGACGGTTGCTCTCGGCTACCCGAAGGCCGGGCTGTTCGCTTTTCCGGGTGCGGAACGGATGGGCCGGTTGCGGGTGCTGGATATCGGTGTTCCCGTCGGCCTTTTGGAGGAGCTTTCGGTGGACCTGGAGGTGATGACTGCCCAATGGGTGGCGTCAAGACTACCGCCACGCCCGCTGAATTCTCACAAAGGCACCCACGGGCATGCACTTGTCGTGGTCGGGTCGCGACAGTACGTTGGCGCGGCGTGGCTGGCGTCGCAGGCGTCGGTTCGCACGGGCGCAGGGCTAACCACGCTGGCGAGTCCCGAAGGGGTCTACTCCACCGCAGCGGCCAAAGGGGCCGAGGTGATTCATCTGCCGCTGCCCGAGGATGATGAAGGTCGAATCGGCGCTACCGCGGCTGGCGTTATCGCGAGGTCGGAGCGACGGTTCTCGGCTGCCCTCGCTGGATGCGGCATGGGGTGGTCTGAGGGTACGGCGGAGTTTTTGCGGGGCCTGTTTCACCTGACACAGAATAAACTGGCGGGACAGCCGTTCCTGATCGACGCCGATGGACTGAACAATCTGTCCGGGATAAGGGACTGGCGTGACAGGATCAACGGCCCGGTGGTGCTAACTCCCCACCCCGGGGAGATGTCGACGTTGACCGGCGTGCCCGTGGCGCACATTCAGGCCGATCGGGTGGACGTCGCGCGGGAATGGGCGGACCGTTGGAGTGCAACACTGGTGCTCAAGGGTGCATACACGGTTATCGCCAGCCCCGGCGAGCCGGTTCGCATCGCTCCCTTCGCCAATCCCGGCTTGGCCACGGGCGGTACGGGGGACGTGCTGAGCGGGGTCATCGTGTCGCTGCTGGCGCAGGGCGTGCCGCCACCGGACGCCGCCTCCGTGGGGGTCTGGCTCCACGCCGCCGCCGCAGAAATTGTGACCGGACGCATCGGACAGGCAGGCCTTGCCGCCTCCGATTTGCTGGACGCGCTGCCCCTGGCTATCGCCAACCTGCACCGTGCTACACTGTCCTAGCCATGGCCATAGACGTGTTCATAAAAGCCGTTGCCGATGAGTCGGAACCTCTGTCCGAGGCGCCATTTCATGAGGCGTCGGACCCGTCGCCCACGGAGGTGGGGGAGTTCGACCGCTTCCTCTCCACGCTGGACGTGGAGGATAGGCGCGAGGTGCTGACGGCGATGGTGGAACAAGCCGAGGAAAACCTTGAGCTGGATTTCACCTCGATTTTCCGGTATTGCCTAAAGGACGAAGATGACCGTCTGGCGCAGCTGGGGATTGAGGGCCTGTGGGAGCAGGAAGAGCGCTGGCTGATCGCCGAGCTGGTGGAACTGCTGCGGTCGGAGCGTGGGCCGCGGGTGCGGGCCGCCGCCGCCCTGGCCCTGGGCAAGTTTTCGGCGATGGCGTTGGAAGGCAAAATATCGCCAGAGGACGGGGCGCTGATCTACCGGATGCTGATGGACTTTCTTGAGGACGAGATCGAGGACCTTGAGGTGCGGCGCCGTTGCCTGGAGGCCGCGGCTCCCTTCAACACCGAGGAAGTGCGGGACTACATCCGGTGGGCGTATGACGACGAAGACCAGGACCTGCGCTCCAGTTCGGTTTACGCCATGGCCGCACTGGGGACACCAACTGGCTGCCCACTCTGCTGCGGGAACTGGAAAGCTCAGACGCAGCGGTGCGCTACGAGACCGCGCACGCCTGTGGTGAGTTGGGGGATCAGGAGGCCACGCCTTATCTGGTCGAGTTGCTGCAGGACGAAGACCCCGAGGTGCGCCTGGCCTGTATCGTCGCGTTGGGGAAGATCGGCGGTGCCTATGCCCGCAGGGCCCTGATCGACTGCGTGCGCGACGGCGACGCTGCGATGTCCGAGGCCGCCCATGCCGAGATGGAGAACCTGGAATTCCTCGACGACCCCATGCGACTGCTGCCCGGCGACACCTAGGCCCCGGAGCTCCCTTGCCTCCGCTGACCGAATCGCAGGCCCGTTTCCTCGCTGATGCCCGCGTGGCGCGGCTGGCGACGGCGGACGAGAACGGACGCCCCCACGTCATTCCCGTTTGCTTCGCATTCGACGGCGAGGCCATCTACATCGTCCTTTGATGAGAAGCCCAAGACAGTTGAACTTACACGGCTGCGACGTGTGCGAAACATCCTCTCCAATCCCCAGGCTGCGCTGGTCGTCGACCATTGGGACGAGGACTGGCTAGCTCTCCGCTACGTATTGGTGTCCTGCCGAGCCGAGCTGCTGGACGGCGAAGAGGACGAGGCGGTGCGGGCCGTGGCGCTGCTCCGGGAGAAGTATAAGCAGTACCGCGAGATGGACCTCGACGGCAACCCGGTCATCAAGCTGGTGGCGCAACGGTTTACAGCGTGGAGCTTCAGCGGGGAGTAAAAAGGGCTTCTCGAAGGTAGCTGGGGTGATGCTACAGGAACCCGATGCGCTTTCAGCCGTTGCTTGACACCCCTTTGGGTGCTCCCTAGACTTGCCCAGAGATTGACGAATTCGTAGCCAGAGAGGCAGACACATGGACGGAGTCACCGCAATTGCCAACATACTGCGGATGGAGGGCGTGGAATTCATTGGCTGTGTGCCTTACCAGCCTCTGCTGGAGGCCGCCGCCATCGCCGGAATCCGCCCGATAATCTTCCGGCAGGAGGTCACCGGCGTTCACATGGTGGACGGCTACTCGCGGGCCACCAACGGTAAGAAGGTCGGCGTGTTCATGATGCAGAACGGGCCGGGGGCTGAGAACGGGTTCGGCGGCGTGGCCCAGGCCTACTCCGAGTCGGTGCCCATCCTGCTGCTGCCCGCCGGGATGGCCCGGGACAAGCGCGGGGTGCATCCCAACTTTTACCCAACGCGCAGCTATGAGACCATCACCAAGTGGTCCGACGAGTTCAACATGGTGGAACGCATCCCGTCGATGATGCGACGGGCGTTCACCAAGCTGCGCAGCGGCCGGCCTGGGCCGGTGCTGCTGGAGATACCTGCCGACGTGGCCACCGCGGAGCTTCCAGAGGAACTGTTCGACTATGAATCGCCTCGTGCGGTGCTGCAGCAGGCGGACCCGTCGGACGTGAGCCGCGCCGCCGCTGCACTGCTGGCAGCCGAGCGTCCGGTGATCCAGGCAGGGCAGGGCGTGCTGTACGCTGAGGCGACCGACGAGCTGGTGGAACTGGCCGAGTTCCTGCAGGCGCCGGTGATGACCACGCTGCCCGGCAAGAGCGCCTTCCCGGAGAATCACCCGCTGGCCCTGGGCGCCGGCGGCCCCAGCACCACCGCCATGGTCAACAAGTACCTGCACGGTGCCGATACGGTGTTCGGCGTGGGTGCCAGCCTGACCAAGAGTTTCTTTGCCGTGCCCATCGCCGACAACAAGACCTTTATCCACCTCACCAACGACGAGGACGCCATCGGGCGCGAGTTCCGCTGCAACTATCCCGCTGCTGGGCGACGCCAAGCTGGTGCTGCGGCAACTGCTGGAAGAGGTCAAGGAGCGGGCCGGAGCACCGCGCCCGGTCAACCATGCCCTGCAGGCCGACATTCGATCGCCAAGGAGGCGTGGCTGGCGCAGTGGATGCCGAAGCTGACATCCAACGAAAAGCCGATGAATCCTTACCGCGTAGTCTGGGACCTGATGCACACCGTTGACCTGGACAACACCATGGTGACCCACGAGTCGGGCAGTGCCCGCGAATACATGGTGCCCTTCTGGGAAGCCCGCAAGCCGCGCAGCTTCATCGGCTGGGGCAAGTCGACGCAGCTGGGTTACAGCCTGGGACTGGCGATGGGTGCCAAGATGGCCCACCCCGACAAGCAGGTCATCAACGTGATGGGCGACCTGGCGTTCAGCACCGTTGGGCCTGGACATAGAGACAGCGGTGCGCTGCAAGATCCCGATCATGACCGTGATCATCAACAACTCCTACATGTCGATCTACGACGACAGTCGCTTCCCGGTGGCGATCCAGAAGTACCAGGTCAAGACCCTGGGTGGGCAATTCGCGGAGTGGGCGCGGCCATGGGCGCCTACGCCGAGAAGATCACTGAGCCGGACGAGATCATCCCGGCCATCAAGCGCGGCCTGACTGCCACCGCGTCGGGGGAGCCGGTGGTGCTGGAGTTCATCACCCGCGACGAGGGAGAGTTCTCCAGGTACTGACCTGCATCTGATCTCCTAAGTTCGTAGTTGGGGGCGCACGGCTGTGCGCCCCTTCTTTTATGCCGAGATCACGGTTCTGTGAACGCCTTCCGGCGGTTTTGATGACAGTTGCCCATTGCGCCCGGGTGTCTCCTTCCGTTGAAATGGTGACTGTCACAAGCGGCAACAGGAGCGACAAGATGGCGACGGAGGCGAATGGACCGGAGCACCGCAACGGAGCCGGGCCGACAGTGCGGGAAATGCCCAGCGAGGAGCGGCCCCGGGAGCGGCTGGCTGCCTACGGACCGCGCCACCTGAACAACACCGAGCTGATTGCGATCCTGCTGCGGACGGGCTCAGCGGGGGAGAACGTGATCACGCAGTCGTCCCGGCTGCTGGCGCGCTTCGATGGACTGCGAGGGCTGGGCAAGGCGAGCTTCGCCGAGCTGTGCGCCGAGCGGGGTCTGAGCGAGGCCAAGACCTGCCAGATCCTCGCAGCGCTGGAGCTGGGACGACGCTTCGTGTCGCTGGCGCCTGAGGAGCGGCCGACCGTGAATTGCCCGGAGGACGTGGTCAACCTGCTGTCAGCAGAGATGTCGGTCCTGGAGCAGGAGCATCTGCGCGTTCTGCTGCTCAACACCCGCAACGAGGTGATGGGCATCGAGGAGATCTACATCGGCAACGTCAACAGCTCGGTGGTGCGACCTGCCGAGGTGTTCCGGCCCGGCGTACGCGCCAACTCCACCGCGATCCTGGCGGTACACAACCACCCGTCGGGAGACCCGACACCCAGCGGCGCCGACGTTTCGATCACCCGCGACCTGGTGGAGGCGGGCAAGCTGCTGGGAATGGAGCTGCTCGACCACCTGGTCATCGGCAGCGGCCAGCGCTTCGTGAGCATGAAAGAGGCGCGGCTGGGATTCAGCTAGAGCCTACTGCTGCCGAGCAAGCCATCGCTCGTTGGCGTCGGCGAAGGCGCGCATGGCGCCCTCAACGCTGTAGGGCATCTCGGGGGACGACTCATCGGCCCATTCGCTGCGAGGCTTGGCAAAGAAGTCGCCGCCGTAGATGTGGATCGCGCCGGTGTACATCTGCCGGGGGTTGTGGACGGCGTGAATGGCGTCGCGGCCGAGGTTGATGGCGTCCTCTGACTGCAGTTCGCGGAACCCGGCGCGCTCCAGTCCCTCGCCGTCGCGGTTGCGCTTAAAGAAGGTGTTGTCCTCCTGCCCGCCGTACAGTCCGATGACGGCCCAGAGCTGGTGGTCATGGGGGTAGATGGTCATTCCCGGAGGCCAGATTACGTTGATGATGGTCAGCTCGTCCGAGCGGTGAAGGGTAGAGATGCCGCCCTCTCCGGGCGTTCCCAAGGCCGCCTCGATTTCGCCCGGCCTGGCGACGGTTGAACTGAGCAGTTCCTTGACCGCGAGCTCCGGGGTGTGTTCCTCAAGCGCGCCGCGACAGGCGGCGACGAATTCTTCAACGTCGAACATTGAACGATTCCTTAGCTTCGTGATTGGGTCTGGATTCCCGCACTCGCGAGAAGGACGGTCTGTCGGTCAGTACGACGGCCGTGTATTGTGAGCGACAAGCTGGCAATGTAGCGAAAGGAGCCGAGGATGCAATCAGATTATATCCTCGAGGCGCTCCAACTGGTCCATCTCGGCGACGCTGGGGAGGAAGACGACCTCGTCCATCCCGATGCCTTCCATATCGCGAATGGTGTCCTTGATGGCTTCCGGAGTGGAGATGGCGTTGCGGGCCATGTTCTCTGCGGCATCGCCCAGGAATGAGTAGTAGTGGCGGATGTAGCCGCCCACCTTGTCGGCGGCGTTAGGCCCCAGGGCATAGGATGCGACCCCGGCCAGGCGGGGCCTGCCGGTTCGACCTTCCGATTCCCACGATTCAAGGGCGATCTGGTACAGGTCATTCACTGCGGGAGCGTTTGCTGCCGCTGCAATGAAGCCGTCGGCGTACCTGCCGACGCGGCGGACAGCCTGGGGTGTGCCGGCGCCTATGAGGATCTCGGGGCCGCCGGGCTGCACCGGTGTCGGTCCCATTGCGCCCAGTCCCTCGGAGACCACATCGCCATTCCAGATGCTGCGCATTGTGGCCAGGGTGCGGCTCATCTGGCGGCTCGCTGGCTGTACTCGGCGGGCGCGGCCTTGTAGTCGTCGGGACGGCGGCCCACTCCCACGCCGAGGGTCAGGCGTCCCCCGGAAATGGCATCCAGGCTCGCGCCCTGCTTGGCAAGAATGCCAGGGTTGTGCAACGGCGCCAGCAGCACGCAGGTCAGCAGGCGCACCCGGCTGGTGGCTCCGGCAGCGGCCGACAGGATGACCAGGGGCTCATAGTTGTCATAGACCAGGCGGTCGATGGTGCCCAGGCTGGAGAAGGGACCGGCGTCGGCGCGCCTGGCCCATTCCAGGATGAATTCACCCTTGGTGCCCGGTACGTTGCCGGGCAATCCGATTCCAACTTTCACGTCCTTCTCCCGTAGGGGTCGTCTGGAGGTCGAGCGCAATTTGGGTACCGGGATGCGGAGCCTGTTCGGAGGCTATGCGCGGCTGGCCGCCAGGGTTAGATGAAGGCCAGCTTTTCGTAGTTGCCGCCAACGATAGGGTTGGCGTCCAGTCCCAGCCATTTCTCGGCCAGGGTGGCATAAACGCTGCGGAAATCGACCTGGAAGTGCAGGTCTCCGTCGAGCAGGTCCTCCTCTCGCAGAGAGGGGTAGACGCCGTGCATTCCACCCGCAACCCCGTCGCCAATGACAAAGGCTGCGCCGCCGGAGCCGTGGTCGGTGCCCGAGCCGTTGTCCTTGACCCGGCGGCCGAACTCGGTGAAGACCAGCATTACGGCCTCCTGGGAGGCGTCGTGCTCGTGGAGGTCGGCGAAGAAGTCGTTGATGCCCTGGGCCAGTTCGCTCAGCAGCTGGGTCTGCACCGGCATCTGGCCGGAGTGGGTGTCATAGCCTGCCTGAGCGGTGTAGAAGACGCGGGTGCCCAGACCGGCCAGGTGGGTCTTTGCTATGCCCTTCAGGTTCTGGGCGATGAGCGTCTCGGCGTACTCAATGGTGGAGGAATAGCTGGCAGTCTCGGTGCGCAGGATGTCGGCGCCCTTGAGTGCGTCGGTACCGGTGCGGGCGAGGTAGTCTAGGGCCGCGCTGGAGCCGATTGCCGGGGAGTACATGCGGGCGAACACGTCGAGGGCCCGCGTGCGGCGACGCTCGTCGGTGATACCGGTGAGGAAGCCGTGGTTCTCCAGCGAACCCACCGAGGCGACCGGTACGCCGGGCAGGGCCAGGGCACGCGGGAGGCCGCGGCCGAAGTTCACGCCGGTCAGCACGTTCTCTCCGCTGGGGTCAAGGTCGCGGATCACCCTGCCCAGCCAGCCTTCGGTGGCGACGCGTTCCGGCTCGCAGGTGTGCCAGATGTCCATGGCGCGGAAGTGGGAGCGGTTGGGGTTGGGGTAGCCGATGCCGTTGATGACAGCGACTCGGCCGTCGTCATACAGCTCCTTGAGCGGGGCGAGGACCGGGTTGAGGCCGTAGTGGCCATCGATGGACAGGACATCCTCCTCGGATACACCGACGGTGGTCCGGTTGTCCCGATAGAGAGGGTCCCCATAGGGCACCACGGTATTCATGTAATCGTTTCCGCCGGTCAACTGGACTACGATCAGGACCGGGTCGCGGTGAACGCTGGTCATAGGTCTCTCCGTACCAGGACTGTCTCGCTTTCAAACAATTGGTGCAATTGTATGCGGTCAGTGGGAAGGATTCAAACGGCCTCCGGATTGAGGTCGCGTGCCGTTCCTTGTGGTAGAACCATTCCTTTGCCGGCGCCTTTCGCCGGCCGATGTTGCTGGTGATCGTCGTTGGCCCACGGCCGGCGAGACAAGTGGGAATGGTCACCACGAGGAGCATAGTGAAGTCAGGGGGTATGAAATCGCTGCCATTTCCTGTCATTTCCTGTCATTTCGTGGTTTCGGCCCCTGCCCGGCCCCGGTCAGGCGGGGGCAGGCTATGCGACAGGGAAACGCGCAGTGTTGATTTCGCTGGCCCTCGGATCTGTTGCATTTTATGGTAGAGAGGTGTCATGAGGCTTGGCAAGGGACTTCTGTCAGCAATTTCAGCCTTGGCGTGCGCTGGGGAAATGGAGCGGCATCTGCCCCCGCCGGAGTAGGTGGCATTTCGCGGAGTGGTGTTGCCAGACCGGCGGATGGGGGTCAGCGACTTTCCCGGAGGATGGCTTCGCCGCAGTGAGGGATGGCAGGCCTGTAACGTAACTAAACCGGATCGCTACACCGAATTGATCGAGGGCAAAAAGAAAGGCCCCGGACTATGCCGAGGCTTGCAGAATTCGTTGGTTGGCAGGAGCGGCAGGATTCGAACCCGCGACCACTGGTTTTGGAGACCAGCGCTCTGGCCAAACTGAGCTACGCTCCTGCGTTGAAGCTTAATTCTAGCGGAACAACCCCCTGGTTTCAACGTATGGAGCGTGTGCTGATAGAGCAATCGCATTTGGACATCTCGATGACAACAGCCGCTTGTTGGGCCTCTTGACTTACCGATAGCATATGATCATGTGTTCGAAAATGTCATCTATGCCTTTGCGGACCATGCTGCACTCGGACTGTTGCCGGCCGGAAGACTCAGGGCATGGCCAGCCCAAACGGCAGAAATCCCAGGACGGGATGGGATGGTACGGAATGGAATGGGGCCGGAATAATATCCCTGTCGCGCAGGAGGGGCACCGTAGATACGAAAGCACCCGAATTGGAGGCATATTGGGAAATGCGGGAATTCGCGGAAAAATCCTTATTCCCCTCGGGTCCGCTCCTATCCCTTAACTGAACTGTGCTCTATTCCCTTCGCAGCCGCGGAATCTCAGCAGCGTTACGCGTTGCCCTGCCTCTGCTGAGGAGAGGAGACTGCCCTTGCTGCCATCCTGTGACTGTGGGTGTGCGGTGGGCCAATATCAGCGATTGCCCATCCATGCAGGGGGTCTATCCTGCACGGGGTACTCAAAGTAGGCGGCGGTGATGAGGAAGTGCAGTTCGTTGTTGTATTCATCCACCTCCCGGAGGAGGGTGATTCGGTCTTCGCTGTCGGGCCATTCGTTGTCGATGAGGGAAGACAGGCGGCCTGTGAGCCGCTGCACGGCGCGGCTGGAGAGTGGCGACGGGGCCCCCGGCCGATGTTGTCGATCTCCGTCATGGCAAGATTCATGGAACGGGAAAGCGACTCGGGCAGCAGGGGGTCGCTGACCAGAAGATCCAGCACACGGCCGGGTACAACATCCGCCTTGTGGATGTGGTGGTACACCTCGACGGCGTGGAAGATGCGCAGCAGCGAGGTCCAGTCCGCCTCGAAGTACTCGCCGTCCTCTTGGAGTCCGCTTATTTCGATCTGCGAGTTCAGGAGTGAACAGACGCCCCCAACTCGTTCCACGTAGCGGCCCAGTTGCAGGAAGCTCCAACCCTCGTCGTGGTACATGGTGGACTCGGTCAGGCCACCGAAGGTGTTTATATCAGACTCGGTCTCCTGGTAGAAAAACCTCGGTTCCCCCTGCCAGACGCTGGGCATATCCAGAAGCTGCAGCTTCTGGAACGATGTGTTCAGGGTCGTCCAGACCTCCGGGCTGATGCACTGGCGGGTTTGCCGGGCATTGTCGCGTCCCATGGCAAAGCAGCTGAAGACCGAGCTGAGGTTGGACCGTTCGAAGGTCAGGTCGTCGGCCAGGGCATAGGAGTCGGCCAGGGCGAAGTCCTCATCGCCGAACAGGTCGACACTTCCGCCGGGCGGCTCACGATCCAGGTTGGAGTAGATGCGGTTCCAGCCAAAATGGATCTCCCGGACGGGGCGATCGATAAGGACCTCTGACTGCAACCGCAACAGGCGACAGAGGTGGCCAGCCCGTTCGAGGTAGCGGCCTATCCAGTACAGGTTCTGGGCATTGCGGGAAAGCATAAGCTACTCCTGCCTCGAGCTGGGAGAAGGTGGCCCGTTGTCCCGGACTTCCGGCGGGGAATTCGACTATTACGCTGCGTCTCCGGGTGTATTTGCGGGTGCGTCTCCGGGGGGCTGTTGTTCGTCCTGGAGCACATCCAGACGTCTTTGCCGCCTCCGCCCTGGCTGGAGTTGACGACGAGGCTGCCTCGGCGCAGGGCCACGCGGCAGAAGGCGCCGGGAACGATGCGGGTCTGGCGTCCGGTGAGGATGAAGGGCCGCAGGTCCACATGGCGAGGCTCGAAGTCGCCGTCGAATCAGAGCAGGCGAACGCGACACCACAGGCTGTTTCCAGACAGTCGTGGGCGACGAACCCCGCTGGTGCGGAACGAAGACACACCTGGACCGTAGTCGTCACGATCTCCTGCGTGTGGCGTGACCGATTAGCATTCCGTAACCGCCGGATCCTCCGACGCGCTTGACGACGAGATCGGCGAGGTTGTCCAGCGTGTACTACTCTCCTCCAGGTCCGTCGGGGCGGACTAAGCGGCCACAGGAGGTCTCTACGTTCGCCAGACCAAAATCAGCAGAGCGGCTCCTCCAGACCGAGTAAATAGCGGATCATGTCGGGGACATAGGCGTAGACGCTCTTGTCGTCGGCCACGCCGGTGCCAGGGGCGTTGGCGATGCGTGACGTCTGGCCAAGCTGAGCTGTGCCAGGTACTGAGAGAGCGAAGCTGCACTCCCGTGCAGGGAGAGTCGGCCGAATACCAGCGGTCGAGATTCGTCGTCTCGACCCGGCGGTACAGCACGTCCACCTGTTGCAGGCCATCGGTGGTGCGCATGTACAGAATGCCGTTGCGGACGACTAGGTCCTGCCCCTCCACGAGCTCGGCGTCGATTTCCCGGGCCAGGAACATGTGCTCGTAGTAGGCGGAGTTGTAGACGCCGGGGGTCAGCAGGGCGATGACCGGGTCGAACTTGCCGCCGGGGGCGAGCTCGGTGAGCGTGGTCTGCAACACGGCGCCGTACTGCTCCACCTCCTGGACACGGTTCGCACGGTAGAGGCGCGGGAGGCTGGCCTTGGCAGCCTTCCGGTTGGCGATCATGTACGAGACCCCGGAGGGCACACGCAGGTTGTCTTCGAGGACCTGGAATCCGTCGTGGGTGCGCACCACATCGCTGCCGCAGATGGCGACCCAGGTGCCGTTCGGAGGGGCGAAGTCCTGCATCTCAGGGCGGTACTGGGGGCAGCCCTTAACCATGTCCTCGGGTATGACGCCGTCGTCGATGATGCGGCACTCGCGTAAGCGTCCTGGAGAAAGAAGTTGAGAGCGCGAATCCTCTGGGTGAGGCCGTCGGATACACCCTGCCAGTCTGAGGCAGTGAGCAGGCGTGGGATGGGGTCGACGGGGATGATGCGTTCCTCGCCTCCGCATCGCCATAGACGGTGAAGGAAATGCTTTCCCGCGAGAAGGTCTGGTTGACCCGGCCCTGGACTCCGGCGAGTTCTTCGGCTGACATGCGGTCCAGCGCGTTGTGCAGGGCACGGGCGTGCTCTCGCGGCGTTCCCTCCGCCTGAAACATTTCGTCGTAGACTCCGGGGTCGAACTGGTAGCCGTCGAAGCTCACTGCGTCAACTCATCGCTTGCAGGATGAACCGGCCACTCGTGCGCCAGCCGGGATGCTTTTGGTACATTCAGATTATACGCCCATCCAGCGGCCGCTGCCATACGACGCGCAACAAGCATTGGAACCCCACCACTCCTTTGCTTCAACCTCACAATCGAGGACGCAGGTACGCTCCCAATTTCGAACGGCGCTTACGTCGGCGCCGTGGCCTCCTCGGCATCCGCCGTCTCCTGGAACACCTCGGCTGGCGGCGTCCTCGGTATGGTGATGGTCATCGTGGGTGTACTGGTCCGGCCCGAGTTACATCGATTGTGCCGCACATGCTGGCGGATAATGTCGCTGGTGATTGCCAGCCCGAGGCCGGTACCCTGTTGGTGGGCTTGGTGGTAAAGAACGGGTTGAAAATCTTCTCGATGATCTCCTGAGGGATTCCGGGGCCGTTGTCGCGTATTCTGATTTCGACGTCTTCCTCCTTGCCGCGGGTGGCGATCCAGACCGTGGGGACGCATAGCCCTCGAAGCCGATGCCCTCTGCAGCCAGCCTGCCGGCTGTTCTCGTCGGTGGCCTGCCGCGTTGCCGCGATGTTGAGGAATGTGCGGCCAAGCCTGGGGATGGCCTCGACGGCGCCCACTGCTCGTCCAGATCCTGCTCCACGGTCAACTGGAACTCGTGTCGGTGGCGCGGGGCGCTGTGGTAGGCGAGCATGGCGTGCTCGACAGAAGGGTGTGCGGTCGATGGACTGCAGTTGGTGGCGCGAGCCGCGGCCATGATGCATGCATGTCGTGACGAGTTGCGGTGGCGCGGTGCACGTGACCGTGAGTGCATATCGATGCGCTCGAGGATTCTGGTGAGGTCGTGGAAATTCGGCAATCGTGTCACGCGCGGGCTGTCACAGCCCTCGTGATAACACTCTTTCATTTCAGAAACGGAGCTCTCAGAAGTCTCCGAGAAATTCTTCACAAAAATTGAGGGGGATTGCGGATCTCGTGGGCGGAACCCCGCGGCGGTTACCTAACCCAGGGCGAGAGGCGAGTTCTAGCGCATCACGAATGGTCCTGCGCCCGTGTTCATGCAGGTAGAAGGAGCACCCGTGTCAAAGATCGGTTTGTCTTCCCTCCCACCACTCGGTATTCGGTCCTTTCCACAATTTGAGTCTCAGGGCTCCTGCGAGTGTGGCGGAAGGACCTCGAGGGCGGAAGCATTTCGCGCCAAGCTCGTCGTGGCAGTCGACCACACCACATCTACACTTTGACAAGCCCGGCATGCGAACGAATGCGTGCGGAGAGGCATTGTTTGATGCAGGTTTTGTTGCAAAAGCACACGGCCAAACGAACACAAGATGATCAGCAGAGCGGTTGATGATCGATGATTGACACTGATGACCAGCAGAAGAGTATGTCCGGTGATTATAGCCTGATCAGAGGACTCGGTGGGCCTGCTGTGCGGATTCGGCAGCCGGGACTTCACAGCTCGTCTCACAACAGAGGAGAGGCTGTCGTTTGGGAGGTAGGCTGAGGCAGGAGGACATTCAGCTCGTCCTGTGAGCAGCAGCTGGTGGTTCGCACGACCACGAAGACGCCATTTCTCGCGGACATGGCGAGGTCGCGAAAGGCCTTACTAATGGGTGAGTGAGAGTGGCTTCAAGCCCTCGTTTCGCTCAAGCGGCAAGATTTTGAGGGCTTGGCTGTCTCGATGGATGCTATGGAAGGATCGCAGAACCGCTCTTCATGGGGCTTCGACCAAGGAGTGGGGGCCGAAGTGATGAATAAGGAGAGGACACACCTGATGCAGGGCTATGTTCTCACCTTTCTGCCTTTTTCCGTGGTTCGGCAGCAGGAAGACAGGTGTCGGTTAGTGGTGCCAAATTCCCGCCTCGAAAAGTGCTCGGAATAATCGGCGACTCCTCGCAGGTGATGCGTCCATGAAGCTTTTCCGTGTGTGAGGATGAAGAACAGTTTTTCGTCACACGGCGGGATGAGGTCCTCTGCTCTAGGCGCCGCGAAGGCGGGAGGCCATATTCTCCACCAGGATTTTGTCTCGATGTTCGTGGAGTCCTGAAATGCAAATAGTCTTGGTTTCCCGGATGGTCTCGATGTAGGTCTCAAGGGCCTCCGAATCAAATCCGCACCCCGCTGGGAACTTCGCGGGTCACCTATGAAGATTGTCGAGCTTTGCACCTTGAATTGTTTTCTCTTGCGGTGTTTATTAAGTCCATATCTCGCTCACTTCATCGGGGTATTGGCAGTTGGCCAGAGACGGGGGGGGCCTTGGCA